CTGGGAAGAGTCAATTTTGTCAAAATGTCTATCCTTCCCAAAGCAATCTATAGATTCAATACAATCCCCATCATCATAGTTTCAAGATTTGGAAAAAATAATTCTCCATTGTATGGAACCAGACAAAAACCCTATAGCCAAGGCAATTCCTAGTAATAAAAACAAAGCCAAAGGCATCACCCTACCAGACTTTGGGCAATACTACTGAGGCAGAGGAAGGGATTGCTGAAAACAAAATGGGTAGACCTTAAGTGACAAACTGAAAGACTTACTCACAATCTTAGTAAATAGAGAGGCTGACTCCCCAGGTGGATTGAAAGACTCCAGCTCTCTCTGCCATCAGTGGCCTTAGACAGAGAGTAGTTGTAATTTTTTTGCGCCTGTGGCTCAAAGGAGTAGGAAGCTGGCCCCATATGCAGGAGGTGGCGGGTTCAAACCCAGCCCTGCCCCCCTCCCCAAAAACCAAAACTGAACTACAATTGATAGGAAGATGGTAGAACTTCAAACCATCCTATGCCAATATGAATAAACCAACCTTAGAGGGATTTAGCAGTGGAAAAAATCAAAATCTTGCATGCCAAGCGAAGCCTTCATCTGATAAGCAAGGAGGAGACATAGGGTCACAGCAGCAGAAAACAAGACGGAGTGAAAGAATGAAAGCAGTGATTTAGAAACGCTCATCTGAATCAGAAGTGCCTGGAATGAAAGTAGGAGCCCAGTTCAGGAGGCATGACATCTTGACATAACTTGCAGACAGATAAGAAAATAAGCATAAATTTTGGGCAAGGAGAGTTCAGACCAGTCTCTTAAATCTTAATTCTTAAAACATGAATGGCCCAGAGTAAAGGACCATGGTTTATGCAGGAAATTGTGCAATCCTGAGTAAAGACTATTGTCAACTTTGTTTTTTACCCTGATCAGGACCTAACAAGTACCAGAGAATAACCGTTATAACAATAATGACTATTACTATTACAGCCAATAATAATAATTGCCACTACTTATGGAGTATTGACTTCGTGCTAGGTACTAATGTTAAACACTTTAGACCTAAGCCTTATAAAGACCCTATGAAACAGATAATATACTTCATAACACAGATGACGAAATCAAAGCTTAAAGAGATTAAGTAACTAAATCAAGATAAAGTAAGAGAAATCTGAATTCCAAATGTATGTTTTGAAAACTGTATCTGAGAAAAGCCAAAGCTTACTCTTTTACCATATCAGTATACTGCCTCCCAGCTAGTATGGTTTATGATTTTATACTTGAAGTATTTCTTAGTTTTTCTGCAGTCAATTGGCCAATAGGGTTCATCTCAGTCAGGTATGCCCAACACTATTCATGCATGTATTTCACTCATTCATTATGTACTGAGTGCCTACTATGTCTTAGGCAGGGGTCTTCAAACTTTTTAAACAGGGGCTAGTTCACTATCCCTCAGACCACTGGAGGGCCAGACTACAGGCCCTGGGACCAGTCAGCTGCTAAGCAGGACAGGCAGCGGTGGCAAAAATCCCCAGTGGGCCGGTTTAATGTCCTTGGCAGGTCGCATGTGGCCCATGGGCCATAGTTCAAGGATGCCTGTCTTAGGGGGATGCCATGGTAAATAGATGCAGTTCCTGCCCTGTAACATTCTAGTTAGGAGACTTATCCTGAAATGCATTCATTTTAACCAAGCATGGCATAATGGTAAAGCTTTGAAAAGCCGACAAATACGCCATTTACTTTCCCAATTCCCCACAACCTGTATTCTTTTCCCTAGGTCACGGATTATGTTATCTCCTCTTCCGTCCTTCACATTCTTCAGTGTCCCTGAGGGCATCTCCGTCAGCTACCCACAGATTTCCTCATTGTGGTGGCCCACAAGCCACTAAAGACAGTTACCTCCCAGTTTTTATGACTGGGCTGACTTGATGGTATCAAGGCTCACTGTAGAATCAAGGGATACTGCTTAATTTAAATCCATCTGACTGCACTGAAAAGACATGCATCCACAATAGCTCAGATTGAGTTTACTATAACAAGCAATAAGGAGATTCTCACATTAATCTAGCTGTTAACAAAGCTGGCCTCAATAAAGCTGCACCAGGAGTGTCACTCTGAAGATAGACCCTGGCAGCAGTATTCTATGAATCTTTGCACTTGTGTTCCACAATTGACAAAAATTAACAGTGTTCCACAGCTTCTTTCTGATATGCTATTAACTATGATTTCTTTCTCATCTGTTACCAACTGCAATTTTCCAATTGGTTACTTGGATTAAATTCTTGGAAAACAGTGAAAATAAAATCATCTCTGCTTCTGTTTGGGCAGTGCCAGGCATCACCAGGCAGTCTGCTGATGGACTCACCTTGTTCAGACATCCAGCTCTCATCAATTGAGGTACTGGCACAGGATCATGTAATTCAAGCATGGTACCCCAAATTTTGTTTGGTTTCAGACACTTCTCATCTAAGTGCCCTACTCCAGTTCTGTGTCAAAAACTCCCCTCAAAATCCCCAGGAACAAGTTTTCTATAATTGTAACAACCTCAGACAAGTTTTCTATAATTCTAACAATCACAATATTTTGAAGTACCATGAATGGATAGATGCCATTTGTAACACTAATCCTATTTAGAAGATCTTACTGCTTTGAATCATTTAAAAAGTAGGGGGGTGTGCTAAACTAGTGTAGTATAAGGGAAAGATCATGGACTTTGGATTCACACAGCCCTAAGGCTAAATTTCTAATTTGGCTTTCACTCTCTGTGTGATACCGACAATTACTCATCATTTCTGAATGTGGGTCCTCTCACCTCTAAAATAGGGCTAAAAATTGGTATGAGGAGTAAAATTACATTTAAAGTTCCTGGTAAACATAGGTGTTTGATAAATTTAAATTCCTTTTCAACTAAAACTTAGTATTTGCAAATATATTCAATTATTCAAAAGATATCAAAGTGCCTGTACCTAGGCTGGGTGCAGTGGCCACGCCTGTAATCCCAACCGTCTGGGAGATGGAAGCAGGTGAATCGCCTGAGCTCACACGTTTGAGACCAGCCTGAGCCAGAGCGAGACCCATCTCTAAAAAGGAATAGCCAGGCATTGTGGTAGGCACCTGTAATCCTAGCTACTTAGGAGGCTGAGGCAAAAGAATTGTTTGAGCCCAGGAGTTTGAGGTTGCTGTGAGCTATGATGCCACGACACTCTACCAAGGGCAACAAAGTGAGACTGTCTTAAATAAATAAATTTATAAATAAATAAAAGTACCTCTACCTACTATAAACCAGGCACTATATTAAGGTCTAGAGATGTAATCATAAATGAGACAGGCAGTTCAAGTCTTCTCAAGGAACTTACAAGTCAATCTAATAAAAAATGTTTAAGGTAGATTCAATCCATCCAATACAAATTATGTGCAAGGAACCATGCTAGGCAATAGGGGGAGGAGGGATGGGAGGATACCAAATGAATAAAAGTATTGATTGTATATAAATAGGAGCATTCTAATTAGGCATGAGATATGTACTTTACAGGGAAATTTATAGTTCTTTGACAATAGCTTCAAAAATCCAGAAACACAATTTTCAGCTTTTAGAAGATAGTTTCTTAGGTATTTTAGCTGTTCAATAATCTGGTTACATCTATCTTAAATTCAACAACTAGATAGTTGGGAGTCTTTATTAAATTAAAATAGCTCCTTTGCAAGCAGTAGGCCTTCAAAATTTGCCAGTCTACTCAGGTCTTTACCTACACCATTTTTTAATTTCTGCTTCCTTTCCTTTAAAGTTTCAAAGCTCCTCACGATATAGAATAATTTTTCAAAGCTTTCTATCAGGCAGCTTTATTCATAATTATTGAGGTTATCTTCTTCCCCTTAATTTCCCTGATTTGCAATCTGAACTCTATTTCTCTCTCTCCCTCTCTTTTTTTTGTAGAGACAAGAGTCTCACTCTTTTGCCATAGGTAGAGTGCTGTGGTGTCACACAGCTCACAGCAACCTCCAACTCCTGGGCTTAGGCGATTCTCTTGCCTCAGCCTACTGAGTAGCTCGGACTACAGGCGCCCACCACAAAGCCCGGCTATGTTTTTGTTGTTGTTGTTGTTGTTGCAGTTTGGTTGGGGCTGGTTTGGAATCCGCTACCCTCGGTATATGGGGTCGGCGCCCTACCCACTGAGCCACAGGTGCCGCCATTGACTCTATTTCTCAGTCATGTTTGCGTGGTTTTTTTACCCTCATTTTACATTCCTGTCACTCATTTATCACAGATTTTTAAAGCATATAACTGTATTATTTTAAATATCTGCAGTTTTCATACATTAAGGCTACTGCCAGGGTGTTTGCTTGATCCAAAATAAAGTCTATTTTTAAAAGGACCCTTTCAAAACAGATAACTCATGGGTTTTAAAAATATTCCATTCTTGGGCTAAACTGTAAAGTGTATCCTCCCATGACTACAGCTCAATCCAAAATTAAAGTCTGACAAAACATTTCTCATACAAATGACTGACAAAAGAAAAGCTTCTCTCCTCTCTGTCAAGGAGGAAAACAATTTAATGCCATTGATTATACAAAACTATTTGACCTTCTTATGCATGAGGTTTCTAAAAAGAAAGGCTAAGTACTGTTCTTATTTCTATTCATGACTTTTCAAACTCATAAGAAGTAATTTGAGAAAAGACTGAATTTGGGACAAGGAGGAAAACACATGTTAGAATTACTAAATAAGTGCCAGAGTTGGGATTTCCCCAGTTTAATCGTTTAATTTTAATTTGCAGTAAAACCTCAATGCTTTCTGAATTCTTAAACTTATCAGCTAAGTTCAGCTCTCTCAAATCAAAAATCTTCTCACAGCTCCCAAATTCATTGCTAGTCCTCCAACTTAGACCCTAAACCACATAAGTGCATCTGTTATTAAGCCAAAAAAAAAAAATCCTTACTTGAAATATACTTTTTATTATTTAAAAAATCCTGTCGTGCAAGTAGGGAAGGTATTATCCATATTTTATAGACGGAGCCACTGAAATCAAATCCTTTGTCTGAGGACACAAGAGTACGTAACAGCCGAGACCAAGTAAGGATTCAGGAGTTCTGATTTCTAGTCCAGCTGCCGTCACACGTCCAAGTCGGCTTTGTTAATCCCTGGACTTTACTTTCCTGGGCTTTGCTGTCATGAGCCACCGAATTCCTGTTCTGACACAATCCTGCTGACTAGGGGCCCCACGCAGAAGTGAAAAACAAGTGGGCGGCGCCCCATGACGCGCTCACACCCAAGGCCAGATAATCAGTGCTGCGGCTGTTTCCTGAAGCGGTCTCGGAGCCCGGGGTCAGGTCATCAGACTCGGCCGAGTACCAAGAGCCGCCGCCAAAACCTCACGGGGCCGAGAGGACGACTCTGCGGCCCGCAGGTCTTTCCGGGCCGCGCGCAGCCCCGCCACGCCGCGCGCCATGTGAGGCGGAGCCTGCCGGCGCAGCGGCGCGCGCACTCCGGGGCCTCGCGTCGCGTGACTCGGCCGGGGCGCGCTGGGCCGGGGCCGGCTCGCGCCACTTCCGACTCATCCCGGGGTTCAGGTTCCGGGGCGCCGCGGAGCTCGCGGCCCGCGCACCGCACGCGGTGTTCTGGGGAATCCCGCGCCGGGCGCCGCGCGGCCGCCAGGATGGACGAGGCTGGAGCGGCAGTGGCCACGGCGGGGGAGGCCGAACTGAACTGGTCCCGCCTCAGCGTGTCCCCCGAGACGCTGGAGTCCGAGCTGGAAGCGCGAGGCGAGGAGCGGCGGGGCGCTCGCGAGGCGCTGCTGCGTCTTCTGCTGCCTCACAACCGTCTGGCGTCACTGCCACGGGCGCTGGGCACTGGCTTCCAGCACCTCCAGCTGCTGGACGTGAGCGGCAACGCGTTGACCACTCTCGGATCCGAGCTGCTGTCCCTGCGCGGCCTACGCACGCTGCTGGCCAAGAACAACCGGCTCGGCGGGCCCAGCGCGCTGCCCAAGGGCCTGGCCCAGTCGCCGCTCTGCCGCAGCCTCCAGGTGCTCAACCTCAGCGGCAACTGTTTCCAGGAAATGCCTGCCTCGCTGCTGGAGCTGCGCGCGCTGCAGACCCTGAGCATGGGCGGCAACCAGCTGCAGAGCATCCCGGCCGAGATCGAGAACTTGCGGAGGTGAGTGAGTTTCTGCGGGAGGTGGGAAAAGCGCGGTGCGTGTGTCACGCAACTGTTCTGGTTTTTTGCAGGCTCTCTCCTTAACTGTGTGTTAGTCAGTACTGCCCAGTAGTCTGTGTAGTACAGATCTAGTAAGATTAGCTATATGATATTATTTGGTATGTTGTGTCTGATTTCCGAAGATTTTCGGGCCAGTTTTCATGTCGTTTTTCTTGGATCTTGGGCGTGAACCGAACTCAGTGGGCAGTCCAACAGATGTAAAGCTTGACGTTTTCACTGGTTCCTCGAAAGTCTTAAGATCAATACATGCCTTTTCCGTGGCATGGCAAGGGCCTCTCATCTGACCCTTGCTTTCCACGACCTTCCTATCTCCCTTTTTCTCTATAGCAATAACCACAGTACCATTTGTGGAGTTCAGTGAGGTATACACTTTCCCACGTAGGAAAAGCGGCTTGTAAGTGCTAGCACTGGTACCCAGTCATTAAATACGTGTTGAGTGGATGCAGTGCCTTTGTGCATGTGCTGTTCCCTCTGCCTGGAATGTTTTCTTCACCTGGCAAACTCCTATTCATCCTTCAAAACCTATCTCAAGGATAACCTCTTGATCACTTTCTTTACTGCTCCCTGCACAGTAAATTATTGCTTAAAATGCACTTTGTAACTCATTCATCCTGTCATTACATTTACCATATTGAATATAATCGCTTGTTTACAGGAATTATCTGCCTCATCTATTAGATTTTCTAGTAAACATATTTTTTTTTTTTTTGAGACAGAGTCTCACTATGTCACCCTTGATAGAGTGCCATGGCGTCGCAGCTAACAGCAACCTCAAACTCTTGGGCTTAAGTGATTCTCTTGCCTCAGCCTCCCAAGTAGCTGGGATGACAGTTGCCCGCCACAATCCCCGGCTATTTTTTTGTTGTTGTTGCAGTTGTCATTGTTGATTTAGCCAGCCCAGGCTGGGTTGGAACCCGTTAGCCTCAGTTTATGTGGCTGGTGCCCTATCCACTGAGCTATGGGTGCCGCCTAGTAAATGTATTTTTAATTTAATGTAATGTCAGGATAATAAAAGTCCCCTATGGGTGCCATTCAGGAGAGGGAAATAAAGCAAGAGCATGTGTATTGTTCAAAGTGGAAAATCGTGTAAAATATTTTCACATCCTTTGTTGCATTTTCAGAGATAACAGAATGTTAGAGGTGGAAGGATCACAGAGTTAAATGTAGTGAAAGGAACATTGGCCTGGGAATACGAACTCTTGGTGTCCCAGCCTTAGGCAAGTCACTTAACCATACCTATGTCCTAATCATAGGCATGAAGGAAACATTTGAACAAGAAGTCCCTTCATTTACTCCTCAACAGATATTTATTGAGTACCTGCCACACATCAGGCACTATCTTAGGTGCGGCGATACAGTGGGGAACATGTTCTTGCCCTTGTGAAGCTAACATACCAGCAGAGGAGACATGTTAAACAACTCACTTCATTACTTAGTAACAATGGTTATAAGTTCTATGAAGATGTGCAGAGTACTTTAAAATAAAATGCCAGAGGGACCTGACTTATTTTTGTCCTTGAGCAAGTAATATTTATGATTTTGGAAGAAGAGTCAAATTAACTAAGGGGTGGGGTGGTGGGATCAGTCCAGGTAGAGGGAATAGTGCTTGTGAAAGCCCAGACATAAGAAGAAAAGTACTTAAATTCTGAAAGAAGGACATTGTGCTAGGGAATTGAGCAAGAGGGTAAGTGTTAAATATAAATTAGACCAGTCAGGCCTTGTCAGGTCTTGAAGGCTGTGGTAAAGTTTGGATTTTAACCTAAATGCACATGGGAGAATTTTAAGCTCATGTGTCTTGCTGCTGCTTTGCAGGAATGGGCTGGGGAGAAGGTAGAGAGATGAGAAGAGATTTTGAAGGCTCATTAGAAGGAGGCCATTGTGGTAGGATGAGAGATGATGGTAATTTATGCCCTGGTAATAATAGGAGAGATGATTTAAAAAGTAGAAAGGTTGGAGAGAGATTTAGAAGTAAAGTTGACAGGCCTTGGTGCCTTCTAATACTAATGTTATATAATTACAACCTTGGAATTTTCTCAGTATACTAAGGGGAACCCAGGGAAAGTTTTTCATCACATGGGGGAAAAGATAGCAAAAATCTCATTTACTAAATACTTACAATGCAATAGGCCCTGTCATTGGCACTCTAAATATGCTTTTTAATTCTCGTAATGATTCTATGAGATGATATACTCCCTTTTTTCAGAAGAAAATGAGGCTCAGGGAAACTAGGTTGCAAGATCATAGAGCCAGTAAGTGGTGGAACTGGATTTGACCTCTACAGTCTTTGACACCAAACCCATGAGTTTTCCACAATGGCAGAGTAAAACCAGAAAATGAATCTTTGCATTTTTGTTCTGTTATATATGTCATCAGGAGGATTTGTCAAAGTCATTCTCCTCGTTGACCTGATTTTCTGGGCTAACAATTGTGCCTTATGTGTTTATTGGTCATTGTGTCTTTGACATCTTTAATGTCAGTGTTTTCATTGTTCAGTTTTAGGCTCTATGTTTATTGATAAGAATAAGTAAAGGTTTAGGTTATGCTCCAGTTAGAAACTCTGAGTGTAGGCTAAAAGGGATATGTAGAAATTCACTCTTACGGGAAGAAACAGCCTTGGCAATGACTTGATTCACCCCTTCTTTTTTTTTAAGATGAGGAAATTGAGATTTATTATCAGTGACTTGCTTGAAGTCAAATAATGAGGGTGAGAATTACATGGGTCAAACCTCAAAGACTGGTAAGTATTCACAACTAATAGAAAGCTTCAAGAACGTAGAGGTAGAGTTTGAGTCACTTAAGCCCTAAGTATTCTATCCAAGAACACTATCTTCTTTTAGAATATACATGGGTTCTATAGGTCTCGTTGGTAACCCTGATGTATATTGAATACTATGCCATGTTGCTTTTTAAATCAGGTCTAGTGTTTTGGCACATTAAGAAGATATCTGCCGGGCAGCGCCTGTTGCTCAGTGGGTGGCACCGGCCTCATATATTGAGGGTGGTGGGTTCGAACCCAGCCCTGGCCAAACTGCAACCAAAAAATAGCCAGGCATTGTGGTGGGCACTTATAGTTCCAGCTACTTGGGAGGCTGAGGCAAGAGAATCACCTAAGCCCAGGAGTTGGAGGTTGCTATGAGCTGTGACATCATGGCACTCTAATGAGGGTGATAAAGTAAGATTCTGTCTCAAAAAAAAAAAAAAGAAGAAGAAGAAGAAAACACCTGACTTCTTTAAAAGCAGCATTTAAAACATGCTTCCCTTTCCCCCTAACCTTCATAATTCTAGGAAGGAGAATAAATAAATATTTTTGGCTTAATTGGTGTTATTGACCTCTCCACATTTAACAAGGTTTTTTCAGGTATGTTTTTGTACCCTATTGATTCTTTCCCCAGTGGTAAAATCTTTTTTTAAAAAGAAGGGTTTCCGAGAGATCATTCAAAGTATAACAAATAAATAGATACTAAAAATCTTACTTATTCTTATGATCAACTTCATTCCCCTGGAGTAAATTAAGCTGAGTGTGAGCCATAAGGTTGCCAGAGTAGATTCTTTCCCTCAAAATACGAGGTTATTTTTCCACAAATAAACATAACTATTTGGTGACAGTCTATGAGCAAACTTGTTTTTGTTTCATAATATGCTGAAAAATAGGTTTGCTTCATATTTTGACCTGTTTATTCTTCTGAATCTTACTCTCTGTTTCTCTCCATTAGCTTAGGCATTAATTGAAGAAAAGCTTAATAATTTATCACCCAGGATAGCAGACTTTAAATAAACAAAAGCTTCAGGGTTGTTCAGCATCTGAGATGTTAGATATTTGGAGAGTAGGTTTGAGCATGAGTTTCATTGGTACTCTTTCTCCAGCCATTTCTTTTTAAATCATGCCTTTCCTGTTTCTGTAAGTGACCCCTCTCACTATTAATTTGGTTTTAGAAGAGTAAAATATAACAATTATGATAAAATAAAAGCTAAAAAATAATGCTCTGGGATGTTTTGAATTTAGTGTACTACTGGTTGAAATCTTAGAAAAGAAGTGACATGATCAGGTGGTGAATAGAATATGGTAAAACCTAAATAAAACACTTTTTCCCCATTTAGACTCAACATATTGAGTTTGTCTCTGGTTCTCAACTTCTTCCCTCTACTTCTTTCTTTTATTGCCTAAGTTTTTGGCACAAATACCAGGAGAAGATGCCTCTATTAATGTGTCTACTTTTGAACTTATATGTACTTTAAAATCCTGTTGTGAGTGATAGCATTTGAAAATGATTTAAGGAGTATACTACTTCAAGAAAACTCTTTATTCCCAGATGTTCTTACCTGGTTTTCTCTTCTTTTCTGTTTTCTCCCTCTTTGTACATCTCTGTTTTACTTTAATACCATCTCCTTTTAACCAGTCATATAAGATAGAACTAATGTTATTGTAGTATTTAATGCCTTTTTATTTTGGGTGAAGAAGCAAAAAGTATTTTCCTCTTTTTACCTGGGTTAAAGTTGATTGGCACTAAGGGGGCCAAGTGTATTTTTTCAGTAGGTCATTGTCCCTTGATAGAGTAAAAGTACCCACTTTGGTATTCCTAAGGATTGGAAAGGTGATAAACTTTTCAAGAAACAACTTTAAGGCTGGTCTGTTAATATTAAATAAAAAAGAAAGGAAGAATTTGTTCCATAAATTATTGATGTTTTCCTATTTTCTATATTTGTCAAAGAGTAGAATTATTCCAACATTCCAACAGTGCAGTGTTAATAAACACAAGAACTTAAACTCTACAATTTTGCTTCAAATTCAGCAAATTTTCTTTTTCCTCACAGAAAAGTATATTTGGAAACTGTATATTTTAAAAAATTAATTACCATAAATCAATGAAAGGTATCAAGTCCCTAGAACTTTGGAAATTGAGTTTGAAAGTAAGAAATACTTCTGAAGGTGTAAATTTAAT